TAAATTTTAGATAAATATAATATTTTTTTTTATATAACTTTATAATATATATATATATATATATAATATAATATAATATAAATGATTTGAATTTAAAATTATTAGTTAAATAAAAGTAAAGTATGTTAATTGGCACACACATTTATTGATATAGTAATTACATTTATAAATCAGTGTAAATTTGTGTGCGCTTAAATATAATTATATTTAAAGATGTCTCGACTTTAAGGATGGATCTCTTACTTTACACAATATACCTTGTGAAAATATATGTTGATTGAGTTACTAAATATGGAATCTCACATGATGATCCATTTACAGAATGGGATGAGTGTCCTTTTCAAAAAAATAAATCTTTAACTCTCGACTAAAAGATATTTTGGTTAAAAAAAAATTGTCATCCCCTCATTTTAATATTACTTTTGAAAAAGGTAAACAAATAAAATTCATTTTCATTTTTGGAATTAATATAAAATAATGAAAGTGTATAGGTGAAGGTGAAATAATAGATTTTCAAACGTAAGTAAAACATTTTTATATAATTACAAACGCAGGGCGTACGTTCAAGTTTCTAAAATTTTATAAGCATCCAAATCAAAGCACTATTATATACTGCATGAAAAATAAAAATAAAAATAAAAAAAAAATATGAAAAAGAAGGAAAAAGAAAAAGAATTAGCAACATTTATGAAAAATAAAAATAAAAATAAAAATTTGTCCTCCACGTACTAATTAAGAATAAGAAAGGCGAAAAAGAAAAGTTGTAGCTTAGTGAGGTAGAAAAAAAGAGTGGAAAGATGTCGAAATAATTGGGGCTGAGGGGAAGGCAACGAATGGGGAACTCAATCTAAACACAAAAAATGAAGAGGATAGGATCTATATATCGCAAGATTCCATGTGCAGCTCCCAAAACCACCAACTAAACTAAGAGATAAAAAAAGAGCAAGTGGTCCTCCTCCACTCTATATAAACATACATCCCATTGCAATTGCATTGGGTTGGAGTTGGATAGTCATGGCTTCTCTCTCTTGCTCCCCCAACGACCTCGCGCCACTCATCAACCAAAGTACCGCCGCCGCCACCTACCTCTGCGCCCAGTTCGACGCCATTTCCAAGAAGCTCGTGGAAACCACCTACGCCGTCGACAACACCTACCTTCTCTTCTCAGCATACTTGGTCTTCGCCATGCAGCTAGGTTTCGCCATGCTCTGCGCCGGTTCCGTCCGAGCCAAGAACACCATGAACATCATGCTCACCAACGTCCTCGACGCGGCCGCCGGCGGCCTCTCCTACTACCTCTTCGGCTTCGCATTCGCCTTCGGCACCGGCACCGGCACCCCCTCCAGCGGCTTCATCGGGAAACACTCCTTCGCCCTACGAGACTACCCCTCCCCCTCCGCCGACTACAGCTTCTTCCTCTACCATTGGGCCTTCGCCATCGCCGCCGCCGGCATCGCCAGCGGCTCCATCGCCGAACGCACCCAATTCGTCGCCTATCTCATCTACTCCTCCTTCTTAACCGGCTTTGTCTACCCCGTCGTCTCTCATTGGTTCTGGTCCTCCGACGGTTGGGCCAGCCCGACGCTAAGCCATGGAACCGTCTTATTCAGGTCCGGAGTCATCGACTTCGCGGGCTCGGGAGTGGTCCATATGGTTGGCGGCATAGCGGGCCTGTGGGGGGCTTTTATCGAAGGCCCAAGAGTCGGCCGGTTCGACCGAACCGGCCGCTCCGTTGCGCTACGAGGCCACAGCGCTTCCCTCGTTGTGCTTGGTTCGTTTCTGTTATGGTTCGGCTGGTACGGGTTTAACCCCGGTTCGTTTATAACTATAGCCAAGGGGTATGGCGGGGGGTATTACGGTCAATGGAGCGCGATAGGGAGGACAGCTGTAACGACGACATTGGCTGGGAGCACTGCGGCTCTGACTACTCTTTTCAGCAAGCGCTTATTAGTGGGCCATTGGAACGTCATTGACGTCTGTAACGGCCTCCTTGGGGGGTTCGCCGCCATCACCTCCGGCTGCGCCGTTGTGGAACCCTGGGCCGCGATTGTCTGTGGCTTTGTGGCCGCTTGGGTTTTGATTGGCCTTAATAAGGTTGCCGCCAAGGTGGAGTACGATGACCCCTTGGAGGCGGCGCAGCTTCACGGCGGCTGCGGCGCGTGGGGGGTCTTGTTCACGGGGCTGTTTGCGAAGGGGGAGTACGTGGAGGAGATTTACGGCGTTGGGCGGCCGTGCGGGGCGTTGATGGGCGGAGGATGGCGGCTGCTGGCGGCGCAGGTGGTTCAGATATTGGTGGTGTGTGGTTGGGTTACGGCCACCATGGCGCCGTTGTTCTACGGGCTTCATAAGATGAATTTGTTGAGGATTTCGAGGGAGGATGAGACTGCGGGGATGGATTTAACTCGGCATGGTGGGTTTGCTTATGCGTATCATGATGATGAGGATGGTTCCAGCGCCGGAGTGGGACTCATGATGCGGAAAATAGAGCCCGCTAGTTCATCTCCCTCTCCCACCGCTCAACCACAAGTGTGACTGTGTGTGTGTGACTCACACCAGATGCATATGCAGTAAAAAATGATAAATAAAAACGTCTTCTAAGACAAAGATATCGATGGAAGGCGTAGGTGTGTAAATTTTTAATGTTTGTTCCTTTGGTTTGATTTAGTGTTGTAGTTTGGTCCACTGTATCACGTTAGTTTTTTTTTTCCTGCTAAAGATAACTAGTTCGTAATATGTAGTCATAAATACTAAATTCATTATAATGCTGGTTATGATTTAACTAGTTTTGTGATATAATTAATGAAAATATTATATATGCAGTATTTGAACATGCATTATTTTCTTTTATATTCATTGTTAAATACCATAGTCCATAGCTGATGATGATCAAGTACAAACCATCTCAACTTGGTACGGAAATATATTCTAAAACAATATGATACTTCATCATAACAGAAGACCTTAGGAACTTAATACAAAATTATGTGAATCAAATTGATCTTAATTTTTTAAACATTATAACTGAAGTTCAACTACCGAGCATCCATCTCAGCTTTGGTAATTAAGAAAATATGTTCTGAAAGAATATAGTACTTCATCGTAATAACATTAATAGAAGGATCATCAGAAGTAACTATAATTAAATATTTATATAGTATTGTACTGGAAAATTTTATAGCCTAACTATGGAAACCTCATAAAAAAAAAATTAATATAGTTGTTTTGTGGTTTTGATGTTCATCATGGTGCTTCCGCCTTCCGATCCATCTACACTTCAAGATGAATTTAAGTAAATGGAAACAGTGGACACACAGCCAAGGCGAGCAACCGGTCAGGCCCCATGTTAAAAAGGCACCAAAATTATTTTTGAGTTTATATAAGTATAAATATAAAATTTATATAAAAAAATAAATTAATCAATAAAATTTAATTAATTAAAAGATGATATTTTCTGTCTCTTAACAAAAATTTATCCATAATTTTACAAAAGATAAATTGATAATGTTGAATATAAAAGAAAATTTTGTTATATATAACTTATTTCCTTTTTATTTCTATTAGTTATAACTTCTCTCATCATTAATAAATAAGAGTTATTGTTAACATTCTCCCATTTTCTTTATATCTATTCTCTTTTATTTGCTCTCTGTTCCCTCAATTGTGATATTTTATATTTTTAGAATTTTAAAATTAAATTGCAAACTTTTATATATATATATATATATA